TTCATGGAGACGGTGGTGGCACACTCCTTTAATCTCAGCGCTCAGATGGCAGAGGCAGGTGGATCTCTGTGAGTTTGAGGCCACCCTGATCTACAGATCAAGTTCCAGGACAGCCAGGCTGTTACACAGAGAAACCCTGTCTTGAAAAACCAAAAAATAAAAATAAAATAAAATGAAACAACAATAAAAAACCTCTAGGATCAACCCATAGTACAACCCATCCATCCCAAAACAAAACAAACAAACAAAAAAACTCCCAAAACAACAACAAAACAAATCAAAACCTGGGTGTGTGAGTTCAAGGCCAACTTAGCTACATAGTGAGTTCCTGGACATCTGCTACAGAATATGACCTGGTCTCAAGTAAAGGAATGAAAAAAAAAAGAAAAAAACAAAAAAGAAAACCAAAAAATAGCTGGATATGGTGGCACACATCTGTAATTCAGCATTCAAGAGGCTGAGATAGAAGACTCGCCATAGAATTTGAGGCTAGCCTAGGCTACAGAGTGAGATCCTGTCTCAAAACAACAAATCCTCTAACAAAAATCAACCCCCACCTAGCCTAAACAAACAAACAAACAAACAAACAAACAAATAAAGCAGCTACATACATGATCTTCCTTTGTGCACTCAAAAGTAAAAGTTACCTCCGAAAAAGACATACTAATTTGTTCAATTTTGGAAGCAAGCCTAGTGGTTGCTTCTTCAGAAGATAAATTAAGGAACTAATCACACATAGAGAAATAAGAACCACTGGGTTATCAATTGAACTTCCACACAATTTCCTTGTCCTTTTTTCCACTAGAAAGCAAGTTTCTTTTCTTTTTGAAAATTCATTTAGCTTTTTGGGACAGGGTCTCACTGTGTAGTTAGTCTGTGTTGGCTCTGTGCTCTGTCTTGCCTCCACAACTCCGGAATTACTGGCATGCTATGTTACATCTGGATTGGAAGGCAAGTTTCTCCAGAATGTGGGGACTCTTATTTGTGTTTGAATCCATACTACAGAGTAAGTATTCAGTGTACATTGTCTATCTGGTGGAGCAGGCCTATATATAATTCTAGCTATTCAGGAGGCCAGGGCAGGAGAATTACAAGTTCAAGGCCAGCCTGGCAACTTCAAGAAAAATCTGTCCAGCCAGGTGGTGGTGGTGGTGGTGGCGGCGGCGGCGGCGGCGGCGGCGGCGGCGGCGGCGGC